TTCTTTATTGGCCAAGTATGATTGGACACACAAGGACATTTTTCCTTTGGTGCATATGCTCTCGGTATACATAAGAAAAAATAAAATACATTCACCAAGAATCATAAGATACAACACTTAGTAATAGTCATAGGTTACTATAAGCAATCAAATCATACATAGGTTACTAATACACAGTCAAAACATATTAGGAAAACAAATAAAACAATATAAATTATAAAGATACAAGCAACACGGTTATAGTCGTAAGTGGGAAGAGATAGGTAATAGGAAGGATGAGAAGAATAATAGTATACAGTCTTACAAAGTAATTTAACAGTGATGTGGGAGTTAGTTATTTAGCAGAGTGATGGCATTTGGGAAAAAAATGTCCTTATGTCTAGTTGTTCTGGTGTGCAGTACCCTAAAATTAGGACCTAGATTGTTGGGGGCAATACGCCGACTCTGTAAACTGCTTAGAGAGGGCTACAAAGCGATATATAAACCTAAGTGCTAATGCTATTGCTACTTTAAGAAAAAAGACTAAGAGTGAAAAAGGAAAAACTTTACATGGAGAAATTAAACTAGGGATTCCTCAAGTTTGGTCCAGAGCATCTGGAGGGGGATGAGAAGGCTCTATGATGTTCATTGCCTTAAAACTTTTAACTATTTCAAGACTTGGAATCCAGAAGACATTAAGTAATATTAGCCTCTTGTTTCATTAGCTCCATGGTAAATTACCATCTTGGTGACATTATCAGCCTTAAGGCTCATCCCCAGCCCAATCACATGCAATACAGGACATCTATGACAAACAGAGACTGGGATACAATTCAGAATATAACAGAATAGCAGAGTTGAAAGGAACTTTGGAGGTCTTCTAGTCCTATGCTCTGCTCAAGCAGGGGACCCTATACCATTTCAGACAAATGATTGCCAATCTCTTCTTAAAAATCTCCAGTGATTTTTCTTGGCTTGCCCTCTTATAGGTTGTATTGTTATTACTAAACTGTCAACTCTGAAGTGAGCCTGGCTGAAGCTATCTTTTCCGGCCTTATGGTTGCCACAAACTTTGGAAGGGGGAAGGGAGGGGAGAAGTAGATCGACTGTCTACCAGTCAAAACAAAAAGTTTTCTTGTGGGAACCAAGAAAACAACAAATGGCAAGTGAAGTGAAGAGGAGAGGAAAGCAGCCTCTTAGCTACTTTCATTGGACAGTGTGATCGGTGACATCTGGGAAGGGAAATATTTGCTCTTTTAATTAGGGGAGTTGATTTTCACTAGCTGTGCCGATATGATGTATCCAATAAACATGTTCTTTGAGGAATCTACCTGCCTCGGAGTTCTGCTTTTGGTGGATGCATTACTCAGAATGCTGACATAAACTGCATAAATCACCTACCCTACAGAAAACATGCATTATTATTACTGACTGATGGGATGAATTTATTATAAGGGATCACATAATTATTCAATACAGGATTAGTACCTTCCATTTAACTGAATTTTCTAGAAAATCAAGTTTGCATTTAATTGCATGTAATCTAAAGTTAATAAACAAAATTCAAAATTCATCATCCTGAGAAATAACGATCATTCTCATGCATCAATAAAATAAGTGATATACTGAACTTTGGCTTACCGCATCAGTGACATCGATCTCATACATTTTTTTAAATGTTTCCCGATCAAAAAAGAGAAGTTTTGCATTGCCATGTCCTTTCTTAACAGAAATGCCAGTAACAAGTAATTGATCATCTGGGCTAAAACAACAGTCGGTCCTATAGACAATATAATACAGATTTGTTTTTTTGAAATCCAATTTATATAATATTTCAAATCTATGTTAAAAAGATAATCGTGTTTGACAACTAAAATCAAACAACATTCCAAATAACGTAATAGAAAAACCAACTAATAAGAGATTTCTCCTGAAGATTTCAACAACCAGAATAAAAAAGTGTCTCATGTGTCTAGTTTACAAAATAAAGAGAGTTTTGAAATCTATAATTCAGTAATAATTCAGTGGGCCATAACGTCTATTTCTAGCAATATGATACCCAACCATTTTATATGACAAATGGTAAACAGACCCATTTTCGAAATCGTTTTTCATGTTTCCTCTCAAAGCAATAAACAAGCACATAGATTCTTTAAAATTAATTTGAGGTGAAAGCTAAGAGTTTATAGACAAGTAGCGAGTAAAAGCAATATGCTAAATCAATTTATATCAAAACCTTTAAAAGCTCTAGCATTATCCCTAAAATCTGGGGGAGATATAATTCTTGCTCTCTGCAAGCTAAGCAAATTGGAATGAAGCCTGGTTAGGAAGACCTGTTCTCTTCCTCCTTTCTTTCATCAGATGCCAATTTCCTTCTGAAGTTTATTGTTGAAAAAGGTGTAGCTTAAGTTTTAAGGCTTAATATTCACCATGATTCCTGTCCAAAGTAGACATGGAATCAAGGAGATCTAATACCATAAACATATGACCTTGCAAAGTATTATTCCCCCAGCCTTGCAAACCTTTTAAAGTGGCTACAGCCAGTATACTGGTATATGCTTTCACAGCTATCATCCATGAAGCAATGATAAGTTTTAGGGCCAAATGGTGATAAACCAAGGCCATTCAGCTTGGCCCAATTTATCACCATTTCATAGTTATAGCCATGCTTATGCTGGACACCACTTATGCTACATCCTTATTTAGATTAATAAGGCTCATCTTCACTAAATCCAAAAAAAACCTAAAAGTCCATGTCATCAGGCAACTCACTATTAGCAATTTAGAAAAAAAAGCATATGTACTATTAAAAAAAGTAAACTAGATTTCTTTTAAGTGAAAAGATTTTTGGATCCTTGAGGTAAACTGAGTGCAACGTTTACAACTTAACATTCCTATGAAATATTGCCTTGCAAAGTAATTCATATTTCATAACCACTGAGCCAATGTCTTAAATCAGAGATGGGGAACTATGGCCCTTTTATGACTTGTGGACTTCAACTCCCAGAATTCCTGAGCCAGAATGCTCAGTCAAGTCATAAAAGAGCCTCAGTTTTCATCCCTGTTTTAAATGGAGGTTTAAAACTTTACTAATACAATCTATTTCTTGCAAACTGGTAAGCCACACCAAAATTGCAAACATGTTGAGTTCAAGCCAAGCAAAATTAAATTCAGAAAATGTTTCTCCAGTGAACTAATCTTGATCCATTTCTGTGCATCCCTTTTCACTAAAAATTATAAAACCTACCATACTTACATGGGGAAAAAACTTGGTAGGCCACTGACCGAATTAAGAGGTGCTTTAAACTGTCTGATATCCCAGGTTTTTAAGGTATCATCACCTAGTAAATAACAAATATTGAATATCTAATGGTTAAAATGCAATTATTATATTAAAAAGCAAAGATATTAATTCCTGCTTCAATCTTTTCAATAATTTTCTCCAACAAAGATTTTGGTCCAAGAGGAATTGTAAATAATACACCTAGAGCTGTTTCAGAGAATAAATAAAATAACACAGTTCTATTTGAAAATTTGCAAAAGATTATATTAGTTTAAAATTAAAAGAAAAAGCTTTCTAAGCCTCCCCTGCCAGCACAAAAGAGGATAAAGGGATATTCATGTGAACTGAAGATTTTTTTTCTTAGAGCGAAAGCTGTAATTTCCCATAGTGCTCAAATGGGATGTAATATCTCCCCCAAATTCCTGTATTGGGGACTGACTAGTGGTGGGATTAAATTTTTTTACTACCAGTTCTGTGGGTGTGACTTGGTGGGCGTGACTTGATGGGTATAGCAGGGAAAGGATACTGTAAAATCTCCATTCCTTCCACACTCTTAGGGGAAGGATACTGCAAAATCTCCATTCTCTCCCCAACCCACTAACCTGCTTTCCAGCTCTGTTCTCCTGTGCAGGGCAACAAAAGAAGACCCAACTGATCAGCTGAGACTCAGGAGGCAGAAAATAGAAGGGGGCAGGGCCAGTCAGAGGTGGTATTTGCCGGTTCTCCGAACTACTCAAAATTTCCACTACCGGTTGTCTGGAACTGGTCAGAACCTGCTGAATACCACCTCTGGGACTGACTCCCAGCAATCTTAGATGGCACGGCCAACAGTGGGATACTGAAGGTTGTCATTCAGTGTTACTGGAAATGTCCCATTTTCCAAATCCTATTGTGGATTCTTCAGTGACAATTCTTCTGAAGTGAAGGATGAATCTAATGGATTTAGAAGGATTCTAAATGTGGTTTCACAAACCAAGCCTGAAGTAAATATTCAACTGTAGGAAAATTTATTAGATTTTATACGGGCAAAAATCTAAATCTGAGAAGCTAATTTTAGCTTTAAAAGCTTCAATAGACAGGTTTTCAAGTTTACTGTGTAAGTCAAGTACAATTTAAAAAAATGAAAAATAGTATCTTCAAGAGAGCTAAATGTCTTCTTTGCATCATGGTTGTACTGATTTCTTACTCTCACTCTCTTTTTTTTTTTTTGCCCCCAAACTATTTCCTCTGGGTTTTTTTTAGGTAAGCATGTTAAGACAGCATTCAGATCATTGTGATATTATTCAACTCATATTTAACTTGTATTTTCTTCCATAGACTAGTAACAGCATGTGCATTCAATAATATTACCATACATACTCCTTCAGTTGTGGATGAGATAAAAAAATGTTATTGGCTATGAATACTGAAACTTAATGCATTTCTTATGAAATGGTATATAGAAGAATTGGGACATTTGTTCCTAAGCTCTATCAACTATATAAGGAGAAATTGAAATTGAAATGTCATCATCTTCATTTAATGAACTTTATATCACAGTCACACCAAAACCCTGTTAAGATCATACATTATATGTTAACTATAATCCTACTTTATTGATTAGCTATTCAAATCTTAACAGTTCCCTTTAGCAAAAATTTCTTCAATTGAGTTCATCAAAACTAGGAATATATCAAATAATACTCGTCTGGCAATAGATCTGTTTTGAATAAAGATAGGAAAGACAACGCTGCATTTCTATTGCTTGATGATGAAAAATATTTTGACAAAATATACAGGTTAACTATCTGTATAGGTAATCCTCACTTACCAATTTTCTGCTAGTTTTCTTATTGACTTTCTTGCCAGAAACTGGCTGGGAAAGTTGCAAATATGGAACATGTGACAGTAAATAAGTACATAAATTAAATATATGCATAAATGCATGCTGGTTGCCAAGCACCCAAATCACAATCAATCTCTGTTAATTTTCTGGCATTCCTCAATACCTGGTTATGCCATCATGTGTGGAGACCATGAGTTACTGAAGTAGCTCCATTATCATTGACATCTGCTGCCTCTCTTAACTTTTAACTGTGATTTTTAATTTTTTTCTGAAATAATAAGTTTTTTATATGTTAACAATTTTATAGTTCTATTGCTTGCTGTTCAGAGTCACGTTTTGTCAAGTAGGTAGCCATGTATATTTGATGAATCTCAGGGATTTTTTTAAAAATACACATCTTAGGTCATTTAAAGGAACACATATATGTTCCAAAGGTGGAATTCAGCAGGTTCTGACCAGTTCTGGAGAACTGGTAGTGGAAATTTTGAGTAGTTCGGAGAACCAACAAATATCACCTCAGACTGAAGATTTTACAGTCTCCTTCCCCTGCCACGCCCACCAAGCCACGCCCACAGAACCAGTAGTAAAAACAATTGAATCCTACCACTGAACACATGGTTTATTAACTTACCCTCCAAACTTAAAAAGATCAAAGAAAGAGTCGTTTTCCCTTTTCATCCATTCTGTGGGTCTCTGAGAATGACGGGATACTAGAGGTCACTTCTATTTGCTATCCAATGGTACAAAGAAATGTTAGGGACCACATTTGCTCTCTATCCAATGTTACAAGAGGACATGAATGATTCTACGAGTACACAAAAGTTGAGATAATTCCTCTAATTAACTGAGAGAGGTCACAATGGAGTTAATTACTGTCTACATGACAGAGAACACATAATATGCAAATCAGACCAAAAATACAACTCTTGACCACGCACGTTTTTAGCGTTTTAATGGTTTGAATGCTTTTGTTGTTTTTTGATTATTTATTTACATGTTTTTAACAGTGTGAGCTGTTAAGTATTAAATATGTGAGATGGGTAACTATGCAAATTGAATACTTTATTTAAAAAGTACAAACCAAGACTAGTGCTCAAGTGACAAGTTCTACACTATGTTCAAACACTAAGTAATTCAACTGTAGAAATATATGCAGAAGAACAACTGCATCTGGCAAATGCTCAAATATCTTTCACAAAAAATAAATCACAATCAAGGTTCCTACAGCCTTGACAGACTAGGCCTTGACATGATCATTTCTCTGGAGGAATGATATAAAAGAAAGAAACTCAGGCAGATGACTCTTGTTAATATTTTAAAAATATGTTAGCAAAATTTTTCTTCCTTCACTGCATCAAACTACAAGATCTTTCCATCCTACTTCCTCATCTGCCAGCCTTAATCACAATTATTATTATATCATCATCATTAACCATGACTATTAACGTTCATGATAGTTTCCTCTTAATCTATATTATAAACTAGTTTGTGTGGTTAACAGAAAATCCTGATCGGTACTGATCGTAGAGATGATACTTCAAAACCTTTTAAAGAAGTATGAGATAGAGAAAGTAAATAGACAAGCCTTTATAAACCAAAACTGGAGGGATTATTTTAATGCTGCGCTATAGTTAAAATTAGATTTATCCATTATTTTTGTGTCTGTAAGTCTTTGATAAGAATCAGGAAATGTTATTCAGTCTTGAATATTCACTGAGTGATTGACAAATACTGTCTTTCAACTTATCTTACATCACAGGGGTACCATTTCAAGGAGAACATTGGAGGAAAGAAATATTTAATTTTTGAGATTTTAATCTCTTTCTTTGCTTTACTTGAGAGTCTACTTCTATAAAATGAAACGACCAAAGAGTTATCACCTCTGTGAAAAGTGAAAAGCTATAAAAATGTTTTTAAGAGCCCCGTTGATGCAGTGGTTAAAAGGCAGTACTGCAGACTACTTCTGCTGACTGACTGCCGGCTGCCAGCAATTCGGCAGTTTGATTCTGACTGGCTCAAGGTTGACTCAGCCTTCCATCCTTCCAAAGTTGGTAAAATGAGGACCTAGATCATTGGGGCAATATGGTGACTCTGTAAACCACTTAGAGAGGGCTGTAAAGCACTGTGAAGCAGTATATAAGTCTAAGTGCTATTGCTATTGCTGTTAATGTTCTTGCTTAAAACTTAAATTGAAATTGCCAAATTCAGTGTCCTCCTCCGCCTCCACAAATTGCAGTACTTATCCTCTTGCATTTGGGCAGGTGTGTCTGACTGTTGACAACACATCTACTATTACTGGGGTTAAGGCCCAGAAAACAATATTTAATATTACATAAAGTAATCCTTTAACACATATTAAAATGAGAAAAATAAAATAAAAGTTGATATGATTTGTGCAAAAGCTATTTTACTTAATGCTATTTTCAATAATGAATTATGTTTAATAACTTTAAATTATGTTACAGCGTAAATCAGGTATAAACATTCTATACTTTTAGTGGAAGGCTGACAAATTTTCTTTTGTGACTACAAAATAGGTTGGCCTAACATTTGTGTTTCTTCTTTTTTGCATGAAGGGGCTTGGTAGGGGGTCATTTTAAGGATAGCACAATCACTCCTAGTTTAACTTAAAGGCTGCAGCAGACATAAGGTTGAAAGTCTGCTATGGTCACTTGTTTTGTTTAGAATTCTCAGAATTTTCAATCCTAATAGTTAAGTGAGAATGTCCTGAAATCTGAAACAGTTAATGCTGAAATTAGCAGCCCAATATTTAATTTCGATGCTTCACTCTGTATAAACGGTAGCTCACAGTTGATGTTTTGATGAGCATTTCTTCCTATCCACCAGTCATTGCAATGAAATTAACAGTGGAAAAATACTAAAATGATTTAAAGGCATATAGTAAAGCTAACTATGTTCAAGAATGAAAGAGTTGAAAATTTGGTAAAGGAATATTGCTTTAGGGCAGGGCTGTCAAACTCCTGGCCTGTGGGCCGGATGTGTCATGCACTGGCCATGCCCACGCCCCATTTAGCGAAGGGGGGAAAAGTCCCAATACGTAAGATGACGCTACCATGACACCCCTGCTTTAGGGTAACTCCTGCTTAACTTAATAACATCTAATTCTGTCAGTGAGTGACACAGATCCACACCTGATAATGGATGCAGCTGACCTGGGACTCCTATTTCTACTCCTTGTCCTTATCCATTTTAAGCACTTAAGTTGTAACGAAGATGATGTGCTTGATTAACCTACTCATTTCCTGACTCAGGATAGTGGTATAATTTAGGTATACAACCACCCTCAGGCAAGTGAGCAATGAGAACTAGGTGTAAGCGTCTTCAAAGCAGGACAGAAATGCCTTTGTTCTCTTTTCCCTCCCCAAGGTTGGCAACCAAGTTTTGCTCTATGAATTCAGCACTAGCTGTGGCCAACTTGTACTCAGCACTATATATAGAAGGCAATGGGGTCACTTACCTCCCCGACTGGCAAGAACGGTACCACTATAGGAAAATGTCAAACTTGATGTATCAGTGCCTGGAGCGTGTGCTTGTCTGCAGTGAAACTTGGTATGAACCTATGTGCAGAGCAAATGAATATTACAAAGGTTTGCTAATTTTAGACAAAGTGCACCTGGTTCTTTGAGAACATCAAACACTTTTTATTTCATTCTTGGATTAAACAACTAGTAAGCAGTTTCATAATCTCGGGTATTAGAGAAAATATGACAGCTGACATTCAGCTATTCTTGTTCATCACCTTTTATATACATTTAACAGCTTAACTATATATACAAGGCTAAGGATTTGTAACACTTCCAAATATTTAGCTTTAGGGTCCAAAACTAAAATAATGTAATCATGCAAAAGTAATGTACACACATCTCACTCTTTTATATGAGCTAGAGGAAAGTATGTATGAGTAAGATATAAAAATACTTTTAATCAGGAGAGAATATTCCCATCCTTACTTTAGAATAGAAGATTCAAGACCACAAAATAGTTCATCTTCTTCTGGAAAGTAAAAAAATCTAGGAAAGTTGGATGCCAAGACTGAAAAATGTCAAGAAGCCTGGGTTAAAAATTTTTTTTAAAAGTCCCAAACATTTCAGTATCATTTGGCTTCCTATGTGCTACTATGAAAATGCATTCCTTAGGGTTTTTTGAGGGGGATTTTTCTATTATTATTTTTTTAACAAGAAACCTTATTTATTAAAAGATGAGCAATTTTTTGTAAGCTCTTTCCTCTTGAGGTATATTTTAGAAATATATTTTATAAATGTGGATTATATTTTAAAATATTAGAATGACTTCCGCATATGTCTTACTGGGTTCATAAGGAAAAGTGACAAAGCTCATACTGTAGTGAAAAAATATTGTCTTCTCTCTGATCTGGGAAACTGAATGCCTTAATCGCACATACATTTCTCACATGTACCAAGCCAAAGTTATAAAGGACTACAGGTAGTCCTTGATTTATGACCACAATTGAGACCAAAATTTCCATTGCTAAGCAAGACAGTTGTTGAGTTTTGCCCCATTTTACAGTTTGCCCCATTTTATGACCTTTCTTGCCACAGTTGTCAAGTGAATCACTCCAGTAGTTCAGTTTGTAACACGGTTGTTAAGTGAATCCGGATTCCCCGTTGACTCTGCTTGTCAGAAGGTTGCAAAAGATGGTCACATGATCCTAGGACACTGCAACTGCAACACATGCCAGTTGCAAGCATCTGAATGGGGATGCCTCCACAGTCATGTGAAAAATGGTCATGCCACTTTTTTCAGTGCTGTTTTAACTTCGAATGTTTCCCCAATGTGTTTCCCCCAAAATAAGACCCTGCCTTACATTTTTTTTTGCCACCAAAAAAGGCACCAGGTCTTATTTTCGGTGTGTGTGTGTGTGTCTTCCACTGACTCACCTCACTTGCGTGCATCGCCCCCAGCCTCCTTTTCGTAGTCAGAGGCCTTCAGAAACTTCTTCTGTGGCCAGCAATGCTGGCAAGGCTTTCCTGAAGGCTTCTGCAGCCGAATACAGAGCTCTGGCTCTATCTGGAGCTCTGTTATCGGCTACAGAGGCTTTCAGGAAAGCCTTGCTGGATGCAGAAGAAAACGGATGGCAAGGCAGATGTCAGGTTGTGCTAGACCTGGCTGCAACTGTCCAAAGTTAAGTAGTGTCAGGTTTCCAAGTGATAAAATCCATTTAAAAAGAAAAGAGCAAAGTCCATCTTCCAAAACAATTTCTTTTATTTAGGAAAGCATCAAATTGGCAAAGTCTGTTGTAATTCTGGATCTGACACAACCCGGAATTATACCACATAATATTGGAAATTGGAAACAACCCCCAAAAGTCACATTCCCCCATAGAAGTAAATCAATGTTGCCTGGTATCATCAATCTCCACCTCCAGGTCTCAGCAGGGTCATCTTTCGTTCCCACAGGAAGGAGAACCATCTAACCTAAACAACTCTCTCTATCTCCACTCCTCCCACCTTAGGAATGTGGCAAGCCTGAAACCCTTACCCCCATAACCAGCAAAGAGAAAGAAAGAAAAGGAATATATAACAAGGCTAAATAAAATGGCTATGCATATGTCAATTTCGGGCTTGACAAGTAGTAGGGCAGCTCCACCCCCCTATCCCCACCCTAGCTTTTTATGCATGCACCCTGGAATGGGCGGGGTCTTAATTGGGGCTTATTTGGGGGATATTGGATGCACGTGTAAAAATCAAGCTAGGACTTTTGTGGTAGGTAGTATTTTCGGGGAAACATGGTAAACAAACAGCCATAAGTCAAGAACCATCGCTATCACATTTTCAGTCTTTTTGATATACACACGCTAAACTCCATATGAAGCCAAAATCAAGCTACAGAATGGATTAGGATACCCACAGAGCACTGTTGTCCCGTGCTCTATTTTTGCATTTATGAATGCTTTAATTTTCAATCAGAATTTGTGACTTTGAAAACTTCCCACAAAACCGACCAATAGATCTTTCCACTTTTTTTTTACTTGAAGCCAGATTTCCAAGTTTAATCATGGGAAAGTTTAAAAAATGGAATGGATGGTCTGAGCTTTGAGAACTGGAGTATGGACTGGTCGTCCATCCTTCCTTCAGAATAAAGTGCAGTTACTCTCAGTTTAGAATAAAAAGGAATAGTAATGGTAGTCATTGCCAATGGTCTGCTTAAAGGACTAGCATTGGAGCACTCTTGCTGTAACTTTTAGTTACTAACTCCAAGGTATTAAGGATATAAGACATTAAATTTCTGACATCTCCAGGAGCTCCTGGAACAGCTCTTGATTTAAATTTTGGAAAGTCTTGGCCATTAGATTAGACACCTGATTCATCATGAAAACTTTGTAAGTTCAACATAGCATAGAAATTCCTTTATTCTGGCAGGTTGGAAGCAATTAGATTCATGAATAGAAGCTGCAGCCCAGCAAATATTTTCTCCAGATGTAGGCATTGATTTAGAGAAAAATATTACGTTGCCATTACAAGCAGTTTTATCCAGTTACAGAAATCTTCCATCCTCTTTCCCCCCCCCTAATCACTAAAAACTATAGGTTACTCAAAAGTATGCGACACAAACCAGTGATCTGAAAAATTTTCTCATGCTTATCTTTCTTCATTTGAATATACTCTTTTCGTTCCTTAGAGATGTTTCAAGAATTTCAACTACGAGGAGAATGGAATAGAAATCACTGAACCTTCTCTGCTTATTATCGTGTGCTATAATCAAAAATATGGTCGCATTTCACTTTGTCTTACCAGTTACTGCAGTATTTTTAAGTGTGGTGTTTGCTATAATGCTGCCTCTATCCATTACTGTACATCTTATCCGCCTTCCAAGAAATCTGAATCAAGAATGCAAAATCAATGCAGAATCAAATTATAATTCAGGATCATTGTAATTTATTTTGCACGTCTTTTTGCATGTGTTAGATACTGGTTCAGAATTTTACCATATCCAAGTAGGAAAAATTCCAACTTCAAACCTTGTGCAGTTTTCAATAAAGATGCTAGTTTGTAAAGAGTGCTCAGATAGATCAATTATCTTAATGCAGGGATCCCCAACTTTGGCAACTTTAAGACTTGTGGACTTCAGCTTGGAATTCTGGGAGTTGAAGTCCACAAGTCTTAAAGGTGCCAAGTTTGGAGACCTCTGTCTTAATAGGTCCTAGATGGTGGGCTTTTTCTGCTCTGGCACTTGCACTTTTCCCCCAAGATTAGGTCAGCCTCCTCACTCCTAAGCTTTTGAAGGTCTCTCAGAGCCCAGTAGGCCCAGTAGGACTCCAAGGGATGGGTGAACTTGTGAGAAGGGCTCCATTATTACTAACATCCCTATATATATATTATTTTCTTTTCCTATTTTGCTTCTATAGTTTTCAAGGCTCTTTTAATAATTATTGTATAAAGGCTTAAGATGATTGCTTTATTTATTTACTGTTTTATCGGATTGTATACTGTAGTGACTGGTAAAACAAAGTGAAATGCTACCAAACTTCTCATGATACCACACCATAGAGAATGTATACTGCTCAGAGAGACTTTCCATGGCCATATAAGTTTGATTAATAATGTTGGATTTACAAAATATGCTTCTTAAAGCTTTGAAGAATTTTGTGAGAAGGGAAAAAGAAAAAAAATGAAAAGTAATAAAGTTTGTGTTTTGTCTGGTCTAGCTGTACCTTTCTGGATAACCCAGGTAGAAAGTGGGAGGTGGGGAGGTTTTACAAGATCTGCGTGTCTCAAATAGGCTATAAGTGAGTGACTATAAGCCGAATCTGGGAACATGTAAAATTATGAAATGGAAGACAAAAAACAACAACAACCTAGCAGCCAAAACAAAATTATTAGAAAAAGATAAAATACCTTTGTCTTATAAAATCACCATTCTGCAAATTTTTTATCCAGAATAATTGTTTTTTTGAAAGTCAAGAAGCCAAAACTGCTCTATGGGAAAATATTCTCAGCTATGACAAATATTCTTTTTTTAAAAAAGGAAGTCCATGTAAAACATTTGGATTTATTGTTAAACTGTTTTATCTGAAAGTAATAATACGAATTGGCCAGCATGAAATAATAAACATCATTAATTAAAACAAAGCATTTGGATATAATTCAACTGCCCTCTCTTTATTTTTATGTTGAGTATGAAAAATGTTAATACACTTGAAAATATTAAGTTCTCACCACTCACTCTGTATAAATTATGTCAGTTGGCAAGTACTGATCTGTTACTTGGGTAGTATTTGCATGGCCTGATTTAGTAGTATATTTAACTGGTTCCCTAAATTTGAACATCTTCTTGAGATTTTTGTACCAGTAGGTAAGCATAGAAATTGCTCATTTGTGTACATGTAGTGGTTTGGGAAGTTGATTGTCTTGCTATCCTTCCGAATGATGTCAAGAAGTTTAAATCAGTGTTGCACCTGATCAAAAGTTTACAGGATTATGAGATAGTTAGAATCTCATTATGGCATTTAAAAATGTAAAAAAGAGGACTATCGTGGTAGGCTATAATTTATATCTAATACAGAGACATTTCCTTATTAAAGACAGTTCTCAGCTAA